CTTACTTTCTGCCACAAGTCAAATAAGCAACCAGTCACCTATTTTGCAGGCAGTCACAATGAGTGGCTGTGCTAGTCGTGTTCAGTACTAGTGTCTGACTTGTCCAGATAATCAGCTTGTTCTTCCCAGCTGCCTTCTTACTACTTTACTTCCCTTGCATCCAGATAAGCAACCGGTCACCTATTTTTCAGACAGTTGCAATGAGTAGCTGTGTCTACTACATCTTTTGGTAATCTGCTTTTTTGCTAATCAACTGCCTATCATCTTCAATCCAGATAAGCAACCGGTCACTTATTTTCTCTGCTCTCTGTGGCTGTGCATTTCCTTATATGGAGGTTGCATTCAGTGGCTGTGTTGGTTGCATTCACTCACTGAGAGGTTGCATGCAGTGGCTGTGTAGGTTTCATTCAGTGGCTGTGAGGTTTCATTCACTCACTAAGAGGTTGCATGCAGTGGCTGTGTAGGTTGCATGCAGTGGCTGCATAGGTTTCATTCAGTGGCTGTGAGGTTTCATTCAGTGGCTGTGTAGGTTTCATTCAGTGGCTGTGTAGGTTTCATTCAGTGGCTGTGAGGTTTCATTCAGTGGCTGTGTAGGTTTCATTCAGTGGCTGTGAGGTTTCATTCAGTGGCTGTGTAGGTTTCATTCACTCACTAAGAGGTTGCATGCAGTGGCTGTGAGGTTTCATTCAGTGGCTGTGTAGGTTTCATTCAGTGGCTGTGAGGTTTCATTCAGTGGCTGTGAGGTTTCATTCAGTGGCTGTGTAGGTTTCATTCACTCACTCAGAGGTTTCATTCAGTGGCTGTGAGGTTTCATTCAGTGGCTGTGTAGGTTTCATTCACTCACTAAGAGGTTGCATGCAGTGGCTGTGAGGTTTCATTCAGTGGCTGTGTAGGTTTCATTCAGTGGCTGTGAGGTTTCATTCAGTGGCTGTGAGGTTTCATTCAGTGGCTGTGTAGGTTTCATTCACTCACTCAGAGGTTTCATTCAGTGGCTGTGAGGTTTCATTCAGTGGCTGTGTAGGTTTCATTCACTCACTAAGAGGTTGCATGCAGTGGCTGTGAGGTTTCATTCAGTGGCTGTGTAGGTTTCATTCAGTGGCTGTGAGGTTTCATTCAGTGGCTGTGAGGTTTCATTCAGTGGCTGTGTAGGTTTCATTCACTCACTCAGAGGTTTCATTCAGTGGCTGTGAGGTTTCATTCAGTGGCTGTGTAGGTTTCATTCACTCACTAAGAGGTTGCATGCAGTGGCTGTGAGGTTTCATTCAGTGGCTGTGTAGGTTTCATTCACTCACTAAGAGGTTGCATGCAGTGGCTGTGAGGTTTCATTCAGTGGCTGTGTAGGTTTCATTCAGTGGCTGTGAGGTTTCATTCAGTGGCTGTGAGGTTTCATTCAGTGGCTGTGTAGGTTTCATTCACTCACTAAGAGGTTGCATGCAGTGGCTGTGTAGGTTTCATTCAGTGGCTGTGAGGTTTCATTCAGTGGCTGTGCAGGTTTCATGCAGGAAACCTTCCATATAAGGCAGGTTTCATGCGGACCCTGGGGCAGGGTCCGGAAAGTAGAATATTAAGGTCACAAAGAAATTTGCTGACTCTGACCCCGCTACCGTCACGGCTCTGGAAACAGGCCATGAAAGCTATCGGGAGGTCGCCCTCGGCCGCCTGATCGCGATCAAAGAAGCGGAGGTCACCTTCTATATTGATCTCCTCAAACCGGAGAAGTTCCTTCCGGCCTTCTGGACGAAGCTGGAGGAAGTGAAGGCGACCGGCATCAAAGCCAACCAGGTCCCCCAGCTTTCCGCTGACGGTCGCAACGTCATCGGCTGGGTAACGTCCAAGGTCTGGCAGTCCACTTACGACGCCCTCGCGCTCGATCTGCCTCACCTTTGCAACCGGGTCATCCGGCTCGAAGGTGTCAAGCAAGAATATATTTGGGAAAAGGGCGAACGTAAGAAGGCTCTGAAGAAGGCCGCCGATGTCGAAATGGGTGACGCCACATCGGAAGCGCAGCGCATCTCTGACCTCGTCAATAAAGCTGTCGCCAAGCGCCTTGCGAAGAAAGAGGTATTTGATTCTTCGCTACTTCTATCTTCTTTTACACATATCTCCTTAGGGAAACGCCGGCAAAGGGAAACAGCCGGCGAAGGAGAGGAAGAAGAAGACTTCCGCTGGTTCCTCTCAGAAGAAGGACGCTGCCAAGGACGCTGGCAAGCGCAAGGCCAAGGCCGCCTCTACGGGCGGGAAGGGCCACAAGCGCAAGGCCAGTCGCGACCAAGGCGGTCCCAGCAAGAAGACCCGTCAAAATTAGCCGAATTTCGGCTCCTCCAATTTGACTGGCGGTACGAGAATCCCCTCTCCTATCCTGATGAAATCCTATTGATACCGATACCTTTGGCAATTAGGTATCTTCTTTGTTCGGCGCCGTCGGAGCTTGTAGAGGCTTTGAGGTTTAGGGCGCCCGTCCATATACTACCGGGGGTGGAGTTATCACCCCCCTTTATACACATGTTATCTCTAGGTCTGCGGTATCTCCTGCGTTCCCCCAAGTTGGGGAACATTATACATTGCGCGTTCTCGGATTTTGAGGAACGACTTAAGTGGAAAATACACTTTATGACGCAGGAGGCAGACGGCGTTAAGCCGAAGCCTTACGACCCTGACTACGACCTACACAAAACTCGGGAACATGAGGCACCCGAAGTAGACGCGTATATACAGAGAGGATTAGACCTCGGAAGGACTTATGTTAGCAAGTACATAAAAGAAGTCGTACCGGGTCTTGTCAATCCACACCGGTTCCATAAGGAAGCCTTGGATTTAGAAACCCTCGAATCGGAGTTACGGCGTTTAGATTACGTTGTTACCGTAACAGACAAAAACCTCGGCGCGGCCGTCGTTACTAAGTCATGGGTTGACGAGGGAACTAGGTTATTACTTAATAATCCCAACGTTTATCGTCTTGTTGATGACGATGAACGACAGGTAATACTTAGTGGGATATACAGAGAGGTCCGGGCCTGTTCGGCGCTCGCTGGACATGCGCGGCTCGGCCCTCAATTGCAGCAATTTCTGATTAGTAAATGTCCGGCTAAGGACGATGGGGAACCGTCACTCCCCAACTTTTATGTTATTCCTAAAATACACAAGACACCGATCGGCCTGCGGCCGATCGTGCCTTGTCATTCCACCGCCCAAGCCCCCGCTGCTAAGTATGTTTCCAAAGCGTTGAAGCCGGTCATTGAGCATTTTGACTGGATTATACAAGGGTCGAAAGACCTTGCTATTAAACTTCATTCGCTTAAACTAAATAAACACCGTAAGAAATTCTTGGTGACAGGCGACATTGTCGCTTATTACACCAACATTCCCATGGATGACGCGGTACAAGAATGTATCGACGCTTACCTAAGGATTTTTCCCGACAAATCAGAGGCTGAAATTTCTCTATTTTGCCGGTGCCTTAATTTGGCAGTACGGAATTTGCTCGTCTCGTACGGCGGGTATACATATCTCCAATTGGATGGCATTGCTATGGGACAAGCCCCTAGCCCTGATATTGCAAATTTGTGGGGAATTGTACATGAAGGACGTCACATGGCGGACCCCGTTTTTCGGGATTCCGTGCCTTTCTTCGGACGTTACATTGATGATGTATTTGCTATCGTATACGCTTCTACTGCGGCGGAAGCTGTCCATATTGTTTCTAGAATTCAATATGACTACGATGGGCGTAACCGCGTACGTATTGATTATTCGGCCACGGCTTCACATACGCCGTTTTTGGACATGATGGTGTTTATTGACCATATCTCTGGCGATATTGGTCATCGCCCTTATCAGAAGGCCCTTAATCATTTTGAAAGAATCCCATGGATATCTCATCATCCCACGGATGTCAAACGAGGCACATTCCTTGGGGAGATGTCTAGATTAGCGACCCTCTCGTCGTCTGCTGACGCTTACTTGGAGGCGGTGCACGCGTTAAAAAGCATGTACCTTAGTCGTGGTTACCCTTCTAAGCTATTGGGTATATGGATGAAGGACAATCTACAAAAACGATGGGCACTTCGGCTTTCTACGGATCGCCGTGAACGCAACGTTTTAGTCCTGAAAACTAAATATAACCCAGCTTGGCATTCTTTCAACGTCAAGGAACTCGGACAAATTATTACACAGTCATGGAAGACCGATTTACGTACTTTACGTACGCGAACCGGCAGTGACGATCACGCAGTGGCGGTGGATGGGGAGGCGGGTCCTTCCCGGGGTGGTTCCCCCATGGATCTGGATCTGGCCCTCCCGGGTGAGGGGGAGGTTCCCGAGCTAGCGAGGGAGCCCAGGCCGGCCGTTGAGCCGGGACCAGGTATCGTGCCGGCTGGACGCCTACGGGCGCCCGGCGATCACGACGAAGTAGCCGATCCGGCTCTGTGGGTGGAGTCTCTCCGGTTGGAGGATTTTGCCGACCCGTCCCCCGTTTTTTGTGTTGATCGTGCGGGACTGTGTTCTCGCGATTGGTTGCTCTCCCGTAAACGTACTACGAATTTGGGAGATGTCATGAACCATCTTAAAAAATCTATTATGTCCGCTGTTCAAGATAACCCCATTGATGATAATGACCTCTTTGGGGCCCTTGACGAGGTAGATGTAGACGGGCTTTGAGCGGCTCATTACGTTATCCCGGTGTTGACAGTTCGGTACAGCTTATCCCCTATCGACTGGGAAGGTTCAAACCCTAAACCTAACCTAACCTAACTTAACCGGCTAACTTAACCGCCTACCCAACACGTTGACTCCCTCTTGCGCCTTAGTACCTTAATCGGGAAACGGAAATACTACACTAGTTCCCGACGGTTTTCCTAGGGATTGGTAACCTTGCCCTTAAGGGGCGGACCGTACCCCCGAGTGACAGCGGTGGCTGTATTCCTCTCGATCTCGGGAAAAGGTTTACCCGTGTGGCGTCGGCTTTCTCCGACGCGCAGTAGTGCCTCGTGCCGGTCTATCGGCTCCTGGCCCGGTGACAGCACACCGGCTGTAAGTATTTGAAATTCTTATTGTTCGGCTCTTTGTTTAGCCGTCAGGGGTGGCACGCTCCCCGCGCCTTAACCCCGGTCTTCGGCCTTCGCCTTGCGGTGTCCGTTCTTTCGGTTCAGCTAATAACCGCCGTTTGGTGTCGTTGACCCAGGGTCCCGGCTCACGCCTCTTATCAGGAGAGTACGATAATGCGTCCCCCGTGTAGGCAGTGCCCCCTTAGACTGGAGGGGCCTACGGCCCCTCACGCCACAGATTCTTCTGATGGATTCCGCACGTTGTCTGTCATACTAACCCGTGTTGTTGGCTCTAGCCCCGTAAGTAACTAATTAGTACTCCGCGTGTTCTCCTCGCTTGCGTCGTGCTTGTTAGCACACGCCTTCGTCGTGTTTCACCTTAGTACGAGTTTGGCAGGAGTTGGATATGGTTCCACCCACTATACATGCTGCCGGGTGGTCCGTGCGCATGTATCTACAATATATAAGCACTTATTCGCCCTGAAGAGTTCCTAAGGAACGAAATCGCAGTTGTACCCCCCGGTACAACACTTTTGGCGGCTTATTTCCTTTCTTCTTCGCGATTCCAACGATAATCAGTAAGCACCTTTGCATACTCGCCAAACCTAACCCTAACCCCTAACCTTTGACAACAACAGTGTTGCAAGTTTTCCTCACTGGCAAAACCTCACACACTTCAACCAAGTTATTCATGTCACTTTTTCAGATGGTAACAAGCTGGCTGATATCTCCAAGGTACATGTGTCCAATACTGGATGGCTGTCAATGAACTGTTTCCCTAGCAAATCTTCTATGTGGGGATCAATGTTTTGAAGAAGAGTATAACCCCTGAAGGGTACCAGCTCCTCTGAGTCATCCAAAGCTACCTACAGTTTGATAGCCTTGTCAGCTTAGATGTCCAGACTGAATGTATGGTTAACCTGATCAATGACAAAATATTGACATTTGATCAGACACTGAAGGTAGTTATATGCTTTGTGCTCATGCCTATTTGTTGTAATGTATCATTTTCAGGACTACACCAAATGTGTTGTGAAGTCCAACATTGATGGTCTGTGAACTGACTGGAATTTCCCAAAGGTCCACCTCTGGAAGCACATCATTTGAGATATCTGCCCAATGAAAGTATGCATGAGCCAATCTGAGATGCATATGAACACTGATCGAATGGTAGAGATGTTCCTGCTCAGGTATGACAACCATGTGTGCCGACACTCCTACTCAGTCACTTTAAAATGCATGTTAGGTCTTGCAGGTAGATCATCAAGTTCTTGCTACAAAGCTTCTCAGATTGTGTGTTGATCACCTTGAGAAATCCATCTCTGGGGAATCAGATCCAGAAGTTGATGTGGTCAGTGAGCATACCTCAGTTGATCATATTAAGCTTGGTGCACATGTTGTCATGACCCAAACCCTGAAAGACTTGGAGGAAAATGGTCAGCCAGATATGGCATTCCATTGGTTCCATCAAAGGTTCTGCAAGTTCCTTAATGATGCCCTTCTGGCATATGGATATCAAGTCAAGTCATGGATCTCCCTCCCTGCTGACTTCACAGTATGTATCCACACCCTCATTATGCACTCATCTAGTTGAAACTGTGCTTGTGCTAAGGTTAAAGAATACCATTATCTGCTGGTCAACTACAAGTTGACTGTCACTTGGAACCAGTGCACAGATCATCTCTGCTGCAACCTGTCATTTTTTGGTGTGCCCTTCTATGACTGTGCACTTATTCAATACACTGAGACAGAAACCACCTTTGTTTGTCTCATCTGCATGTTTTCCTGTGTCATTCCAGACATAGGAAACATGGAATTTATCTTGGCACAACCCTTCACAACAAGGATCAGACTGGCCTGCACTATTGATCATGATCTTAGACTCAAACATGGTCAAGACAGTTCCATGGGCTGTGTCCATCCTCATACCATTGTGCTCAATCATCTGAGGGGCTGTTCTAGCACCTGACACCAAACATGATGATGAATTTTTTGTTGTTGAGCAGCTTGATAGTGATATGTTCCTACAGACACAGGCAATGTAGGTTACTTACCATCTCTAGTGGCCTTCCAACCAGAGAATTTTGAGCACATTGTAGATGTCTGTTCTGACCCATCACTGTCTTGTCCTTTGCAAGCCATCAACCATCCTAGCAAGGAAACTGAAGACTTGCAACATGCTCAGTAGTAGATCAAAGGTACTTGGGTGACAGATTGAAGCTGGCATCAAGAAATAGTAAGTCACGAGTAATACCATTGGCAACCACTCTGGAACAGACCACATCAGACACATGCCCAACTCTTTTCTCCCCTGCTGTGGAGCAAAGTGGTAAGTAGTAGGTGCACTGATGCAGGGGGTCATCAGGGGAATATGGTGAGGTCTGTTTCACTACTTTTTATGACCACCACATGAAACTCAATCTACCAGATGCTGGACAGCAGGCTGCCAGAGTGGAAAATGGTCTTGTTTTTTTTATGTACAACTACAGAGATACACTCTGACCAATGAAGTGTTGAAACTTCAGGGAAAATGGATGTATATAGGTCCACAAGGCTGCTGAAGCCTCAAAGGTGAAGAAACCACGATTCAGCTCCTCTTCCCTTCCTTAGTCCTCCCTCTTCCATTTTCCAAGGACCTTCTCAGACACAACTTGTTCAGCAAGGAAATGGTCCAGTGCATAGATGATAGCTTGTAGGGTGTTGTGGAAAGTCAGAATTGAATGGAAGTCGATGTCTGCATCATGCCTAATCATCTCAGTGATGGGAACATCGTTGGCTGGGACATCAGGAGGGGGATAAGCATTGAGGGAGAGTAAAGCAGGGTCTATGGTGGAGGGCATAGTGAAAGCAGCAGGAGTGGCCCATTTGGGGGGCAAACTGTTGGGAGAAAAATTCTAGTGGCAAGTCAATATTGATGGACTAGTACACAAGTGGAACAGAAGACATACCACCAAGCTGTACAAATTGCTGAACACATCTGTCACTGCCTCAGTGGTCTCAGGCACATCAATGGGTGTTGAAGTGCCATTGGGAATTTTGAACACATTGGGGGACATGGGTGGGGCAGGGAAGGGGCATATTCGAAGTTGCTGAGTGTGGAAGAGGAGATTTCTTGTGAATGAGGCACAAGGTGAATTTCATACAATGTGAGAACAGAAGCTACTAATTTAAACAGATACTGGACAAACAGAGACCATGAGGATGCAAAAGCACTGAAGATACTTGAGGTGGATATGCTACTGACATGAGTTTACAGGCATACAGTAAGGCATCAGGAAACAGAATGAGCATTGGTGATGCTTTGCACCTGCGGATACAATGGATGCATTGCTGGCCAGTCAAGGTCGCAATGGAATGCATTCAAGTCAGACAAGTATTGGGAAGTTGAGCATACCCTTTCACCTTTGTATCCAATTCATCATGCACTTACCTGCTGACTTTTTTCCTTGATGATGTCAGATCTTTGTACAGAATGCAGTATCTGGTCTCGTTTTTTTTTTCATGTTCACATGCACATATACAAAACTCACAATACATGTTGTGAGCAAGACGAAGTCTTTGTGTACTCAACTGGTCCCTCTTTGCAACTTTCCATCCTGCCCATGGTTTGACCCACTATACATGCTTTTTCACACTCCATCCCCATTCCATCATGTCAAGTAGCATGGCATGGGTGTCTGCAAAGGTAGCACAAGCCATTGCCACTGTATCTCCTGCTAAGACCATCCATGTGCCAGAGTAAGTGGTACAACCTAAACCATTTCCAACACACTAAATGTGTGAGACCATTCAATCTTCATTCACTGAGGGGAACCTGCCTAGCCTTCCACTCATGCATGAAGTCATGTCCTTGTAGTGAGTACCTGCTTCTTGGAAGTATGTGTGGTGTTGATGTCAACCAGACCTTCTCATCAACCTTCTGGATATAATCTCAGTGCAGCTGGAAGTGATTCAATGGATTACTTTAGAAGAAATCAGGAGTAAGGCTGCCTTCTACTTCTTCATACATCTCTTGGTTCTGTCTTGTCTTCTGACTAAAGCATTTCCTTACAGTGAATGTCGCCCTCTTCTTAATTCATGCCCATAGATGCCCCCAATTATCACCACTTTCCTGGGGCACACAGCATCTGACTCAGTCACACAATCATGCCATGCCTCTAGGACTGTGCACCCACCAGCAGATGCACAGCCCACACCTCAATGGGCATGACCAGCTCGATTAGATGTCAATGGCTCAACTTGAAATCACTATGATGCTGTGAGATGACCTTATGTGGATAGCAGGTGGTTTGAATGTGTTGCCTCATGGGATTTGGTATTTTGGCAACCCTGAAAATTGCACTATGACAGATTTGGATCTGAGCAGTCATGCAAGGTTAGAGGAGGTGGAGAGGTTATGGAGAGTGCCATGGAGAACATGGCTGACCAACAAGTTCCAGATGGGTGTGAGATGTGGATTTGGAGGAGTCACAAGGTGTCAGCATGAAGTAGATAGAAGGGTGTAGCTATGGGAGACTTGATTGTATTTTGGGTGGATCATAGGTGTAGGTGGATTCTGAACAATGCACCCACTGATGATGGGGGAGTTGTGGGAGAGGATGATCATGAGTTGTACTTGTTCTCCTCTAGTTTTGCACACTGATCTGGTGCATTGGCAGGCCTAGACGATGAGTACAGGTACTGGTCTTATGTTGAAACCCATCCTGCCCATGTGGTTCTCTCCCAAGGGTCCTGGCAGGAGGCTGTGGATGTACTACATTGGTCCTACACAGATTGGCTGCTCACCCATCCCCAACTGATTCAGCCACCTTTTAGTCAGGAGGAGTGTCAGGAACCATTGAGACTACTCAATGGTGAGGCTGGGACATTTCCATTCAGTTCTACTTGCCTGATTTTTTTTCAACAGATCCAAGTCAGCAATCCACTCTTTCATACACATGCATGGTCACTCACATTCTTCTACATGCTGGTGAGTTTTTGCACCATACCCCTCGCCAGTGTTATGTTCTTACAGGCTAACATTCTTCATCACTGCTCCCACGAGACATCATCACTGCACACACATCAAGGCAGACCCTGATGCTACACATGGCAGTCAAGATATTGATCAGTATACTGTGCCTTGGCATCCCATTCTTGTTTGTGGATTGAGCGAGATATAGCAGCCATTTTGATGTGGAGGGGAATGCAAGCATGCAGAGTAGTGCACCACTGTTTGTCATCAGTGCTTGTACCTGTCTCATGGTGAGGGTTAATCATTATGATGGTAGTCATACTCATTCCTAACTTCTTTTCCTTCCCTGCTTTCTGCTTGCACAGTCTGCATTATCCTCAGTGCCTCTGTCATGCTTATCTTGTTCCTGGGACTGGATGGTATTGCACACATTGGAGGTCTGGTCACCATTTCATGTTCTGTTCTGAGCACAGTTACATCTTTCCTGTCTATTTTCTGGTATAAAGCAGAGTTGCCACATGGTTCTGCAGCTGTTCATCATGTGGCTGCTGCTGCCAATGAAGGATTCATATTTCTCCTGGTGAGTTTGCAGTTCCCCATTATTGCTCTTATCCCTAACTCATCTCAAACCACTTACAGTGCTGAAGCATTCTGCTCTCTCTTCTGCTAGTTTTTCTTGCATATTCTGTGGCTGGGTTCATCACTGGCATCATTGTCTACACTAGAATCTGTAACATTACATGAACAGAATAAAACAGCTGTAATATTATAACCAGAAAGAAAGCAAGAAAAAAGCTCCTGAAAGGTCAGTTTCAGATTCAAGTTAACATTGAGTCAATTCATGTGACAATGCCATGACCTTGCATCATTGCATATAAGTTATTCACTTGTGATTTGTACCACATCAACATTGATCCCTGGAATGCATGGTTGATTACATATCAAAAGGGACTAGGGTGAGCAACTTTCATACTGTAGTCACCTACTGCTGATGGCATTGTCAAATCATGCTTTATTATGTCCTCAGACCAGCTCAATAGCTGGTTATGTCCAACTGCTGACATCCAACCTGCTGACAGTCTGCCATGTGGATTCCCTGAGGCTACTACAGCAAGGAACTGTGCCAGACAAGGAAGGCTCTCTTTGAAGCCAATAGCCAGTGTTCCAAGTGGTCCAGGAATGCATCTAGCAAGTCAATCAGCCTCATGACTTGTATTGAGCAAGAAGCAAAGGAATACCTCCTACTGTATCATTTTTTCATCATTCAAAGCCTTTTCCCAGCAGCTCTGAATTCCAATACTGATCAACATGATCCAGCATGGTGGAAATCACAGGATGGGAAGCTCAAGGGCACTCTGACTGAGCTTTATGAGATGATTCCTGTGGATTTACATGAGTCAATGGTAACCTACAAGCAATTTGGCTCCATGGTACATGTAATTCCAACCTTGGTGACCACTAACATATTAATTTGTTTTAAGTTCACACAAGCACATGGTCAGGAGAGATCCAATGTCCTCAAAGTCATCAAGGACTGTTGCTGGCATGTTATTTGCTCTATATAACATTTCACTGGATCTCTTTACTGGAAAGCCTGCTTGTAAGAAGGACAACAAGGCATGCCTGGCACTCTTGAAGAAGGATGGAGTCAGAGAATACACCTGTTTTGCACCCATTCTTTTTGCAGATCCTAAGCAGATGGTTACTGGAGGCTTCTTGAAGAGTCCTGTCCTAGTTAAGGTAAGCATGCATGGTTCAATGCTGCTCTTATTCAAAAATTGATTCCAGTTCATAGGTTATCTGTGTCCTGATGTTTGGAAAGTTAATCCTTGCAGAAAACAAACAAGGACAGCCCCCAGCCAGGGGTCAGAAGATGGGCATGCTGAGGATTACTGAGGGCCTGATTGCTGGTGCCTGCATCTTGGTGAGGGTGTCTGTGGTCACTGTGCTAGTACATGCTGATGTCAATATCATACCAAGGTTCAATTCCTATTGTCACATGATCCTGAATTAAGTGCTACTGGTGCAGAAATGCAGGTCAACTACTGATCAGAATATGATTTCTACCTCATGAAGCTTTTCAAAGCATCTCCTTGGGCTGTCAGCATGATGAATTTCTTCAACCAGGAAGTCTTCAGGAAGGGGTCTCAATTGGTGAATGTCAAATCTGAGATATTTGCTAATGTGGAGCAGCTGCATACTTGGGAAGATGAATTTTTAGATGAACTCAACAACATTGACCCCACTGAGAGTCACACCCCACCCATTTCCACACTGCATGACCCCAATGCCCCTGGTGGCCATGATTCAGATCTATGTGACTCTGATCTGTCATCAGTCTCTCATGCTCCATTACCTGTTGCCAGTTTGGTCACTCATTTCAATCCCCCTCACTCTTGTGCAGCTAGTGTCACTGCTGCACAAGCTGATCTTGGTGCTCAAACTATTTCTGGTGCTTCTTGTCAATTGTCCCCTTCTATCTCAATTGGGCAGCTGATTTCAAACAGTGGTGTTGAGGTGTCAGTGGTGACCATTGCTGTTGGTCAGATGAACATGTCTGGCCCAGCTGAGGCTGAAACATCTCAATCCTGACAAGCAATTCCAGTTGTGAGCCACCAGCACAGCTCAGCTGCTCAAAAGGTGATTCCAGCCATTCCCAAGGTGGTTCCCAAGGGTCTTACAACTGATATTCATGCTACTGAACCAGGTCTGGAACCCACCTGCTGTGGTTGCTGTGCTACCGCTACAAGGTCCTCACAACCAAAGAAGATGAAGGTTTGAATTAATAGCAGTACCAGGTGTCACTTATGTGCTGGGTTTCTATATGTTCTACAGTCTTTGATTTAGCTTGCATCCCATTATATTAGATGCAATTCATGTTTCAAGGTCACATAGATTGACTTGTAATATGTTCATTCACTGCAATCATACATCATTGCCATCATCCTCTGGAATTACCTGATCTGATTTCTTCTAGAAGCCTTCAGATGACTACCAGGATCCAGTCCCAGGCTATAGAAGCCCCTTTTGGCCTACTCATTCCCCTCAGATATCCCTACTAAACCTCTCTCCTCATTTAAATCCATTTTCCTACAACTGGAGCCCACCATGAGGGGCTTCTGTCTTAGCCTGGCACCCATCCGAACCTTCCCAGATTTTATTTTTCAGTCTCCAGCTTCATTTTCGCAAATTTCAGGCTTGGTTTAGCAGGTTTTGCCCTTCGGTCTCATTTTTGCAGTCACTTCGCTCGCATTTTCGTGTTTTCCCACTCGCGCGCACTCACACATCAAGCACTCGCACTCGTATTACCCACAAACTTCATGCTCGGCCTCAAAATTCCATGCCGAGGCTCGCCCGAAGCACCGAGCTTCTCTGGGCACCCTGAGGACTTACAGTCCTATTTCGATGACATAATCGACTTCTGTGATGGATTCGGGCTCTCAGACGGACCCGAGCGAATCAGATTTGCTCTCAAGTATGCACCTTTCGAGTCGGCGGACCTCTGGTCCCACTTCGTCAGTAGTAGTCAAGGAGATTGGGCTCGTTTTACCTCGGAAATCACTCAGCAGTATCCGGAATTACAGGAAATCACTCGAAACAAGTTCTACAAACTTCGCAAGGTGCTTGCAAGCTCAGAAACCATCTCGACATCATCCCTGGGCGAATATTATCGCATTTTTTGTCGCTTATCGTTGTCTCTCGAGAAGGAACACGGGCTGCTACCCCACCTAACATCCAGCTTCTTTTATGGATTCCCGCCCGAGTTCAGACAAGAGCTTCTTGAGTTTCATGACCCACCAGCTCAAACCTTTACTGTACCTAGTCTTATAGCTGCAGCAGGACGGGTTCTCGCACTCGGTGATGGCCTCTGGAAGAGCCGCAAGGTCGACAGTTCGCGCGCGCAGCCACCACATGCCTCAGACAATCGTTCCCCCCGTCGTTCATATTCGTTCTGCTTCTTCTGCGGACTTTCGGGTCATATTCGAGCGGGTTGCCATTCATTCAAGTCATATTTAGCTTCGGGAAAGTGTCTACTTGTCGACGGCCGCGTTGTTCTGCCTACAGGACTGGAAATCCCGCGTGAAGTTGCCGGACGGACTCTGCGAGACCGTCTCGACAACTGGTCTTTGTTGACAAGCCAGTTCGAGGCTCGTATGGGCTCATCGCCCGCTCGCTCGCTTTCACCCACAGCCGCGCCCTCTCGAAGCGTGTTCAACGCACCATCGCACATACCCGCTCAGACGAGCATCGGGTCCACTCGGTCCCTACCTACTCTCCAGCTCGAGCCAGCAGTACACAACCCGCCAGCTATTCCATCTCGTCGTTCATCAGCCGAGCGCTCTCATAGCTCACTGCATGCGCAGCCACAGTCGAGGTGGCCACATGGCCGAGGCCGGTCGCCCTCGCATCCTCGTTCACGGTCGTGCTCACAGACTCGAACGAGTTCGTACACGCATTTGAAAGATAAATTCATACCAGTCCAGTCGTATGCCTGCAGCTTGAAGCAGTATCGCGCTCGAAGGCGCTCGTATTCATACTCGACCAGTAGCTCACTCTATTCTTCCTCGTCCTCGTCCTCGTCCTCGCGCTCTCGCTCACGCTCAAGGAAAGTGCATTCACACGCCCGCTCCAAGCCGAAGCGGTCGCGCAGCCGCAGTCGCGCGCCCCGGCGCTCTCGAAGAGTGCGTTAATGCTGCATGTCACACAAGTTCTGTTATGTTTTTTATTTCATTTTTTTTTACTTATGGATCTTACAGTATCTAGTATGGATTTACCTATGTCGTTATGCGGAGTTTTGGGTACTTTATACACGTTTAGTTGTTCTTTTCTTTTTTTTTGTGTTTTACCCCCCCAGGCTCGAGTTCCCCACAGAACGCCGTTTAGCATCGCACCTGGCGCCTTCCCGCGATCTACACGATGCCTCACATCCACGGATACAGTTCTAACCAGGCATGCTGTCGATGAAATCACTGTCGACACCGCTCGTCGCTCATCAAGACAAATGCTGCCTCCCTCGTACCGAGCGCGTATCTCGCTCGTTATCGCGCCGTGCCTCTCGCTTTTTGGCAGGCTCGTACTACTCGACGTCAGCTCTCTGTTGATACAAAGCTCGCTTGCATGCGCCCAGCCGTTAAGGAGATATTCGCGTTTTTGTGGATAGGTCCATTCTCAGGGTCCTGTAGTCGTATCTCGCTCGTTTCCCTGACGCGCCTCTCGCTTTTTTGAAGGGTTGTAGTCCACAACAAATGCTCGATGTTGATATCAGGGTCGTTCTGATAGGTCCAGTAGCTCCGGAGATATTTGCATTTTTGTGCGAAGGCCCATCCTTGAGGTCTTGCCATAGTCGCTCGCGCAGTTCTGCATCTCTCCTCTCGCTTTTTGGGTCTTTCATTCCTCTCGCTGAGCCCTTCCTGAGGACATATGGTTTATAAAATTCTGCACAACCGTTGTTGAGATACCACCGTTTTCATGTTTGGAGGGTTTCAAGACAGTTTTGCGTATAACTCAGGATCGGCTGATCCAATCGGCATTTTTCCTCGTTATCCCTGTTCGTCTTCGAGTCCCCTACCGCCTCCCGGAGTTTCGTGTTGGTTGTTGCAGCCGTCGTTGTGCGAGTCGACCCCTTCTCCCCACCTTTGAGGTCCGCTCGTCGTATCTTGTGCATACGAGCGCTACTCCTCTCGATTTTCCGGTAGTCCATTCCCTTTGCATAGCCCTTTCTGGGGACGCCTATTTTGTCAAATTCCACGCAGCTATTGTCGAGATATGCCCATTTTCGTGGTTAGAGACACTTTCGGACGTTCGAGTATCTCACTCGTGTCTCGACCGGATCTCTCGCTTTTCGGGATCCTGATGCTACTGTTCGACAGCATCCGAATGGGTACCTTTGGGCAGATTTGTGGATATCTCAGGATCGGACGCGCGGATTCTCTCTGCTTGTTTTGTGCCGTGCTCGCTGCGCTACCTTCTACCATCATGTCTCATATCGCGGCACTCCGAGCACCTGTTTTTCGTTGACGAGTCAATGTCTTGCCCCCCTACCTCATGATTTTAGGATCCTGTGCAGTTGAGCACCTTCCAGTTGACTGGAGACAGTTAAGATCTCGAGTACTCCTGGGATGTAGGGAGTGCAATTTCACTATCAGGGGAATTGTTTTATTTTGCTTGTTTTACTTGGTTGTCATTCTAGACACCTTTTTCTATGAGTTGTACTTAGATTTCGCATTTTTGGATGCTTAGTCAACAGTAGTACTACTTGTGTATAGGTTTTTCCTTAATAACAATAGACAAGTTACCACAGATGAGAGATGAGCTTGAGCAGGTTGTTCCCTGCACCAAGACAGCCATAGAAGCCTTCAGATGACTACCAGAATCCAGTCCCAGGCTATAGAAGCCCCTTTTGGCCTACCCTCTCCCATCAGATTTCACCCTTCCCCTCACTCTCCCATTAAAATCCTACTTTCCTACACCATGCATAACATTCCTTCTTGTGCCCATGCACATGCCATATGCTGATTCCAGGGATAATCCAAAGTGATGATGGGATATCAATCATCTCACTTTGACCCACATGCTTCTGCAGATCACCTTAGGCACCACTTTTCAGTGGGATTAAGGGTCTATTAGATATACTTTTTGTGACATAAACAATGTATCTAATAGACCCACCATCCATGCTGGAATCACCTGGCCAGTACTAATAATAGGTTTGAGAATCACTTTGAGAACTGTTTTCCATTTTTGGGTGGTGCTCTTCCTGCCCCTGTGCTTGCCCCATGTTTGCCTCACCTTCCCCAAACCTTCATCCCACCATATCTCATGTCTCTTCAACCCTCATACTACCATCTTGCAAACTTGCCAGGGATGCTCTTGGGGAGCCTCCTCCAACATTGGCTCTGTACAGCTCCCATGTTTCATACATCCCATGGTATGTTTTTTTTGTCTTCATATTTTCTCTGAAACATGCATCCCCATCCTGGGACTCACTGTTCATTGCCTAGCACAAGTTTTGGCTTGGGCCAGCATTTCTCGAGTTCAACAAAGTGGTGTAACAAGAGGAAAATGCAGACTAATGTTATCATTCCAGGTCAAAGTGCCAAACAGCAACATCTCCTTCAACAGTTGAGTGATCTTTTGAATCACAAGTCATCTCCCAGTCCATCATCTACTATCAACACCCCTCCCCCCAAACCAACCACTCCAGATGTGCTGGACAACACTGACACGATCCAGCACTCCAGTGATGAACTGTTGCCCAAAGATGTTGCTGACTATTCCATGCCAAGCATGGCTGTCGACCAGCTGTATGACAATTGGATGGCAGTTATCCCTATGATTATTGAGCCATATCTCCAATATATGGCAGAAACTGTCAGAAAGCCACTTATAACCTATGATAAACCACTCTCTGGTTGTCAGGCAGGATGTGAACTCAAGCATTCTTCCCTACTCTGTTTATACTTTGACCATGCATAACATCCTCACATTTCCTTGTGGAGGCTGATCTCATTTCAGGTTTTGCAACTGTTATGGTTCTAAGTTGTATGTGCATATCACTTCCTCAATTACTCTTACATTCTAGGCTCTTTCCCACTGCCCCCTCTCAACCTCACCTGGCCATTTCTGTGGAATTACTTGCTTTCTATCAGGCACTGTTTGAATGTTCTTGCAACTCAATCAATGCCCTTGCCTCTGTGCTCAATACACATTATGAATGACAAGGGTTCTGGATGACCACCTGAGAGGTCAGTGGTTTGTTTGCTGACCTGCTCATACTTACAAGTATGGCACACAGGGTGGAGTTATTTGAGATCCATTCCATCATAGCATTGGGAATGCTGTCCAGTGGTATGATATCTTGCAAGTGCATATTGAGCCCTGTGCCGAAAGTATTATCGAATGTTGTTGCCAAACTGTTCTTGACCATCTCAATCACATGCAGTCTGCTCAGCAACTGTCATTCACTGTGATCCCACCATCTTCCAAACAGTTCTCATTGTCACAATGTGCATCCATACTTGTCCAAAGGTTCCCAGCATGTTTTGCAGGTTGCACATTTGGACAGCTGCTGAGCAATGGTGGTGATATTCATATCACACTTAATGGGAACTTTCACCATCATCATTGGCACTCAGCCAGTAGTTGTCCTGCATTTTATGACCCCACATATTTCATTCCCAAGGTTCAAGCCAACAATGTTGGATGCTGGATCAAATGAGTGTGTAAGTGGCCACTAAGACAACAGCATGTTGAAGTTCCTGACAAAGCAATTGATCAATGTGAAGCATCATATGAAGAAGCTGATGGCAACAAGCAGAAGGCCACATTGGGCTGCTTTGACAACCCTGGAATTATGGCATTGATATGCCATCACGACATCCCTCTCTTCTTTGCAAATATTGACATGCCTGGTGAGCAACAGAAGTATAGCATTGCCCTTCTTGAACACCTCTTCTCCCACTTGCCAGTCACTGCAACTGTGATTGCATTGTATGATATTGGTTGCATTCTCACATGTTCTTTAGACAAGGTATATACAAAGTCTCATCCCCATACACTAGTACTGACTTCCTGCAGTTTGAAATCCTCAATAATGAAATTGTTTGTCACATCTGCTTTGCAACAACTGCAATGCATGCCTATGGCCACAAATGGGCATGCCAGCTCATTTATAACCCCCACATTACTACAGGACTTGATGCTGACTGAGGAAAGGAATTGCTGAACAAGGTAGCAGAGCACATCAGATTCTTGGTGATTGTGGAATTGATATCCTGAAATTGTGGAACAAATGGGCTAGCCAATGTAGTGCTCTGCTTTCCATACAGGCTCATAAGCATTTCTGCATCTATTAGACTGTGTTATTCATTCTTTGCCTTTAAATGCACTGGCTCAATTAAAAAAAGAACTGAACACTGTACTCATGTTGCAGGCTGACTTAGAGGTTGCTGACCAAGCACTTCAAGCTGCATGCACAATAATTGAGAAGGATGTGACAGAGGATACCCTCAAGGCTCTGGAGAGTTTGGAGCACAGCCATGATCATCTTTTAAACAAGGTGGACCTACTATATGCGTCCCTCAACATCCATGACAAGTTCCTGAGCTCAACAGCATCAACATCAAGTTCATTTGGATGCTTCTTTTGGCTTGTGATTTGAAGATCAACATCCAGAAACAAGCAATTGGGAGCTTTTTTGAGTGGGATGAACTCAATCATGCAGTAGGGGGGAAAGCAGAAAGCCTTGGGTAGTATCACTGAACCTACAACTCAGTGTTGCAATGCTGATCATTTCTTTCTAGGTATGAAGCTCCACCAGCAAACTTGCAAAGCAATTGCAAAGCATCAGCCCATGCTCATGTTGGCCATCTGAAAATTCAACATGTATTGTGAATATCTTGCAAAACTATATGCATCATCCAGCATCCCCCTTCCTTTGCTGCTCCCAACAAAATTAGCTGAACTATGTAATGACCAATCCCTGTTTGAAGATGTTTGGATCACTCCCTCTATCAGAGAAATCCTGTGGTGGTTGCAAGACTCTGACATGAGAGAGGGCATTAGAGCAGTCCTGAAGACTGACCACTGTCTTGAAGAACAATGCTGCTTTGGCATGGAGGCCAACAACATGTGCCAATGGTTTGGCAGTGAGCTGTGTGCCATCAAGCTTGCAATTTGGCAGCCAGAAAGTAAGTCAAGGTACTGTTGATTATATTCAGGATCTAAAGATCTTTAAGATTCTATGTACTCTCTGGTTCTTCAACAACATTGTGAATCACTGGCCAAGATGCAGGAAAGGTGGCCCACACCATTGGCCTCCATGGTTTGTTATGCGAGTCAAGCCCACAGCATGCAGGCTATTTCCACTTCCCTCACCAGTACCCCTGCCCCTCTTGAGCTGTGATGGCTGCCACCTATTCAATGTGATGTATCTGTGGATGTCCTTAGTGAGGCAGACTCCATGTTACCACTGACTGATGTTGATGCAGGAGAACACATTTTGGACCCTGATCAGACTGTGTTCACAGACATTCTCAAAGATGTACCATCCAATGCCAATGACGGCAGTTTGTCTGACAATGATGAGGATCAGAAAAAGATTCATAACATGAATCTTGTTTGGGAAATTCCCTTCATAAGTTCCATTTGAGCACACAAGTCCTGACTAATTTGCTACACAGATCCCCATGGTTGATATGATCAATGTCCACAATGACCTGCCTCTTGTCCATGGTGTGTATGCAAGGCACATCTGACAATCACAGGATGATTTTCCTTGGTACATCTTTGAGCTGGATGACTATGAGTGGCTTGCTTCTGCCACCAGTTTGCTCAATGATAGCTGTATCAATGGCTGTGCTGCACTACTCTACTCAGAATTTCTGTCATTGAATGCTGCATGGTGTGTGATACTGTCAACTCATGATCTCCCCTGCATTTGATACCATGCTGAAGACAACATTTTGTGGCACAACACCTCATGCATGTGTTATTGGGAGAAACCCATCTGGATACTCCCCATCCATTGACCATCCCCAGTCAGCCATTGGGTCATTTGTGTTGTCAAGTTTACTTCAAAACAAATACTCCTTTTTGACAGTCTTGCAGAACAAAAACCTTGGAAATGTAACATCAAGGTATTCTGTCATGTCTGTCTAGTGTTCTTACTGATGATTCACAGGATATCGCCCATCTTGTCACTTGCCTGTCCCTCATAGCCTTGAAGAGGCTCAGAATTCCTTGGAGAGATTTTGGAAGCTGGTCTGTACACCTAATTGCAGTAAGTACTAAAAATACATGTGAAAATGGCTCCCTTGTCAAATTACTAGCTTGGCCCTCTGCAATCAAATGGGTACAACTGTGGACTTTGGGTTTTGGCTCAGGTCACAGTGGTTCTGCAAGGCTGCAATGTTACAAACTTGTGCAAGGTGGATATGCACAATTTTTGTTGTTATCTCCAACATCTTATACTTCACATACCAGTGTAACTATGAACTACCTGTGTAACAATCCCTGCCATTTTCCAATTCCAATGCTTCTTGAGTAATATGGTAGATATCCTGAGCTTGCCACTGCAGCCAACATGCTGCCATTTGAATGTTGTAGTTGCCTGACATGCCAGGACCTCCAATAGTATCATATACGGCAGACCATTGCACTAACTTCTCTGCAATATTGCCTATCAGTTCAGTGAACACCTGCTGATGGTCTCCATTTTCAAGATGTTTCACTCGATGAGTATCTGCTTCTCCTAACAGCCTTGCATGTCACCCAAGCATGACATCCACCAGATTGTGCATAAACCTTTGTTCTTCCAGTGTTGGGTCTGGCTTGGCATGCATATATGGAGGCTCTCTTTCCCACTTATGTAGATCTGATTCATCCAAAGCATCAGCACTCTCAGTGGCTTCCAGAAATAGGGGTGACATAGGCAGAGGTATCATTGCATAGGTGATAAGAGCTGGTGGGAGGGAGTCAGTGAAGTACAAAACCAGAGTACTACACACTTGCTGCCAAGTATCAGACAGTCACAGTTAGGATAAATTGTAGCATAACACATATGAATTTTGGTGATGTTCATTGGGGGGGGAAGTAGTGCAACATTTCTGACTCTTTCTGCCTGTGAAAACACATTCAGTGGTGTTCTAGCTATGTTTTCCTTTCAGTAGGAAGGCTATTCAGATTGTGATTGGCTACTGTTATTGCACACTGGTTTGACACGTTTCCTCAGCATTCCAAGTTGCACTCTGAGTCTGTCCTCAGCGCCTTACCACTACTGATCACTATTCGTAGATGACCTGCAATGACTGTTGCTATGGTCATTCTGCCCAAAAATTGAGTAGAAGGGTTCAGGATATTTTGCAATCCAGGGAAAGAATCACAGCAAATGCTCTCACATTCTTACCTAGAGCCTCTCTGCACCCTCTCCAACCTCTCTGTTCGAAGTTCACTGTCACCATCTCAAGACAACTCCTTGGCTTGGAATTATCATGTCCCTTCTCCTTCTTTGAAAGCTTCTGACTGCCTTACTCTTGAGATGCCCATTGTGATCCTCACTAGATCTGCTGCAATGCTCATCTTGCATAAAGATGGTGCACCATTCCTGGTTGTACTTTTCCTCCATTCACCAATCTCTGCACAACTGGAAATTTTTGTGACTTTGGTTTGTACTATCTATCCCATATCTCACACTATCTGATGTCATTCAGAAAAAAATGTGAGGTTCTAGCAAGTCAGGAGTGCTTAACCCTCTGGGTAGTTCCTTCTGACCTGCATTGACATGCCCAAACACTCTCCCAGCATATCCAGGACAATCTACAAGCACACAGGATGATTTTGTCATTGTCCAGGTTGGGGGTGGTTGCTGCAATCTATCACCAGCCCCAGTGGTGACTCCAACATGTCTCTGCCAGAAAATCAAGGCAACCACTCAAGACACTGGTCTAGTTTGTGAGGTGTCACTCCACTGAGGTCATTTGCCCCCAGTTGAACCCCCAATGTCTCCAATGGGGGGTTCCCAAGATGCTGATGATGATATTGATCCTTTCCTGTCAGAACCCATTATCTGGCCTACCCCAACAGTTCAGTCAGACATCTCCCTTGGTATGGCTGCCAGTGGGTCATTTACTGCTTTTGAAGGACACTTCCACTATTTATATCAATCTAGTTGCTGAAGGTGATGACACACCATGTCCTGGGCCTGGACTCTCTCCCCCCCCTCTCAATACCCTGGCAGCACCATCCAAGACCCCTCCCAGCAGACCCTCTCCCCCCCCTCTCAATACTGTGGCAGCACCATCCAAGACCCCTCCCTGTGGACCCTCTCCCCCCCCTCTTAATACTGTGGCAGTGCCATCCAAGCCACCTCCCCACCAACCTTCTGTACCCCCTCTCAATTCTGTGGCAGTGTTGTCCAAGCAACTTCCTGGTTTATCAGTGCCCATAGTTCACAAGCCACATTCTACATCAGTGCTGACTTGCACCCATGGTTTGGCTCCATCTTTGGCTCTGGATAGGTTTGGCTTTGGGCCTACAGAGAGTTTCATTACTGTCAACAATGTAAGTACTTGTCGCCCCCAGACAATCATCTAATGATTTAATATTGTCAGACTTCCAAGATCATTCCACCTTCTGATACATCATCAATTACTTGTCCAGAGTCACCCACTCCTTGTTGCACCACTTCCAGCCCTTCGCAAGGACACAATCAGCTATCACCTCTACCCTCTCAAGAAAACATGCTTAGTGTTGAGACTGATGGGCATGATGGGGATGGCAACAACAGTCTATATACTTGTGGGAGGTTGCTGGCCACCACTATAGATGAATTCGATGAGGGCTTTCAGCAGGTCAACAAAATATTCAGCAAGCTCAGGGAAAGTTGAGGAATGCCATGGCAACAAGTCAAGGACCACTACAATCACCAATATTCTCACTCAAACATGCAAAATCTTTGGAATGTGTACTTGGAATATTTTGCAAAGAACCCAGAATCCAAACTTGCCTGGCTCCCTCAGGGCGACTACACAATCGAAGGGAGCCCCTCCATAGATATTAGGAAGCAGTGTTATGCATGTTTCAAAGAAGTATACTCAGAAAACTATATTGACATCCTGGAAACATGGAAGGAGTCAGAAGAACTGCAAGATTTAGGTAGAAGAGTTGCTCAGCATCAGCAACTTTTCAACAAGTCCATGAAGAATCTAGATCACATCATAGGTGTTTCTTAGGCATCTTACTTATAGTACATGCTGAATGCTTTCTCTTATAGTTCACCAGACTCTCAAAAGTGCATGGGATCAAAGGCATGTACATGTCAGCTGGGAAGATCATGAACCAAGATGTTGGACTTGCCCATGCCTTCACTACAGCAGGCACTGAAGGAGTAAGTCACTGCATGATGTATTTCAATACCATATACTCAATATTCATTTTATAGTTCTTTTGTGCTCATTGTCATGTGGATACTGATGAAATCATCAGGCATTTCAAGGAACATATATAGTAAGTAGTGTTGGTGTTAGTGATTCACTGTCTCATATCTTTTATTTAGCAACAAGGTGTTTCTTGACAGTTTGGCTGAAGTCTTTGAAGACCACACCAAAGAAGCTAAGGAGGTAGTCACTTGTGGAGGAAAAGGGAAACAACATGCTGTCAATGTCAAGAAGGATCAGTCTGACAACAAAGTCAAGATTATCAAAAATAGCGAGCAACCTGATCATGATCAAGTCAAACAACATCTTTGAAAGCTTATTGGTGCATCCTTCCAATATTAGCTTTCCTAGTCATCTAACAATTCTTAAAGAAAACTTTGGATTCAAATGGGCATCCAAAAAGCTATTTCCCTGGAAGTCTCTCCCAAATCAGCTGGCAGGCAGCACACTCATCATGTATAACTGGCCAGCAGATGTTATCTTCCCAGGTGAGGAATGCTGTGGCAAGGTGTCTGGGAAAGGGATCTTGGACCTCACACATGCAGACTGTTCTAAGCTTATTGCTGCACTTGTGGACACTAGCAAAAGCAAACTCTGCATCCAGCACAACCCCAAAAACAAAAGTATGTCCTCTGTTTTTTTATGGTCAATGAGTACTAATGCAGCTATAGCAAATCTGCTCACATCCAAGAGTCCAGTTATCATCAGTGCCCTGCCATCATTTGACTTGAAACTGCCAAGGGGAAAGTGGATCTTCTGTAGTCTCACAGTTGACCACCTCGGACTGGCTCAACTCCTTGATCAATCTGCCACATGCATCAAGAAGACTAAGCTGAAGAAGGCTGCACCTGCCAGAGGTGATGTCAAGAAGGGAAACTCGGCTGCCATCAACACTTCTGACAGTGTCAAAGAGGTTCCTGTGGCCAAGCCTGGTACTTCCACCACCACCTCTGGGACACAGCTCGTGGGTATATTGCATCCTCAACAGTCTTCCAAGTCAAAAATCACAATGACTTCTGAACTTGTCATCTCCAACAATAGCTCAATCTCTGAAAGTGAGTCACCCAGTGATGACTACCTGCCTGATCAACAATCCAAAGGTTTCCAGGACAGTGAGATGGATATAGACAATGGTGAGGTTGAAAGGAATGGTGCTGAGGACAGTGACTCTGACTATGCACAAGAACCATTGTCATGTAAGTGTAAAGTCAAGGGCCATGAAATGGGCAGTCCAAAGCAGAAAAGGAATGTCTCACCTTTGCATAGCACAGGCCGCATATCTAAACAGAGCAAGACCACAAGGTTCAAAGGCTCACCGATTCCTACAACCAGTAGCAAGGCCAACTGTCACATTCCTTCTTCATCAGTAAACCACTTTGTGAGCTGGTAGTCTTAGGGAATCTGTCCAGTGCTGGACAGCTCTGGACAGCTCTGGCCAGCAAAAGTGATTTACTGATGTTCACCAACATATATGTCATCAGAGGATGCTTCTGTGTGGAGAGGTACTCAATCTGATGTTCCACTGGATGCTCACAAGGAGTCTGTTCAGACTGCATGGGTGCTCACCCCTCTAATTATGCCTGACTCTGCTCATCATACTGACATTCCCAGTTCCACAAAGGAACATACTTCATGCAATGTTTGGGATGCTCACAAGGAGGCTGTCAATGTTCCAAAGGTGATCATCCCTACTATTACCCTGGGTGGCTCTGTTGATTGCGATATCTCGCCTACTGACTCTGATAATCTGTCCATCCCCACCACTTCTCACTTGAACCCTCTTCTGACACCATTATATCCAGTATGCTGGACACTTCTGGGATGTCCTACAGCATTCCCAACAACTTATCTGATGCTCCTGGAACTGTAGGCGGCAATAGCACTTGCTCACATGATACTCCTGGAGTGACAGGCAATAGTTTTAGAGGTGCATACAGTTACCTTGATTATGTGCACTACTAATGAGTCATCACTATCAATTGTCTAGCCCTGAAATCAGTTATGCTGGCTGCAAGAAGCCCAGATACTTGTGATGCTGCTGACCTTTTTACTGGACAGGGTGATGGACCAACTGCCCCCTCAGACATGGACTTCTTCTCCCATTGTATGAGCAACACCACTGCTGGATCAGGTTCATTGATTCCACAGCCATCCCACTTAGAACCCCCAGCAATCTACATCAATCTGCCAACAACAAGTCAAGCAGAGCGCCCAAGGCCTTGTGTTGTCCAGGGTGGAACCCATTCAGGTGATGAGCCTGAACCATTTAACCTTCAGCACTGGGCATTTCCCAAGTTGGATGAGCCAGGATTATCTGGCAAGTGTCCATCTATGGTGTCTGCAAGACTTTTGGCTGCTGAGGAAGGTCATTTGCCCACAATTAAAGGAGAAGCTGATGGTCCCCAGGGAAGCAATCATGGTGGGCACTCTGATCTGACAGTGGGCAGAGTTCATCTGCCCTGCCCTTACCCTGCTCCCCATCCTATATCTTGCCAAGAGTTGTTTGTCCATCTGTCTCAGCAACACAGTTTCATTGATTGGCTCCCTGGGCCTGGGGTGCCACATGGCAGATGCTGGGTGCACCATATGATTACAATGCTGGCTTACATGGAAGGTGGTACAACCATCCAGTGGCTCCTTGCCATCCCACATATCCCCCACCCCATCTTGCCTACCATGGTTCATATGCAGATCCCAGTGCTTCCCAAGTCCCCTCCACCAACAGCACAGGGCATCCAAACTATGGTGCCCAACATGCTGCTGTCACTTGTGGGCCAGGTTACCATTTTGGTGGTAATGTTCACCATGACCTTGCACCACCTGGATGAACTGCCCCCCTCCCTGATCCTAATTCTGCTCATGTGTACCCACCCCCCTCGCATCTTGGTGACATGACAATGTCAAAGTCATCTGGTGAGTAATCTGTCAGATGTCTGTGGAAGATCCTGCATCTAGTGGGGTGGCAACATTTTGATGTCCATATCTTGATCTATGTCCTTTTCTATTTACAAGTTGCATCTACCCCAAACATTCTATTTTCATTCTCTTCTTCCTTGACTTGGGATTACTTCATGCCATGTATTAGTCATCATGCAATACACCTTTCCATGTGCAACATATTAATGCATTGTGATTTAGCAACATAAAGTCCACAAAACAAAATTGGAGGAGTACCTCTGGCAGATAGTCGGTATATACTTAGATGAGCTCCCAGGAAAAGCCTCGAGGAGCCTCCTCAGAGGGATAGAAAATACTCGAAGAACCCTCCCAGTCTGATTAGTGCCTCTAACAGATGGTTGGGACATAGGTAGATGAATGATGGGAAATGGCTCGGGAATCCTCCTGGGAGGGATAGAAAATGCTCAAAGATCCTGCCTAGCTACATGGTGAATCTTGCCCAATAGATGGGTGGACCTCTGTAGAGGGATGTAACATGCTCAGCTTACCTTCCCCACAACATTGATCTTTGCCATTAGCAGCAGGGAGGGTGCCTCATGACCATTGCTGGAATTGGCTGGAACCTCCCCCTGATGATGGCATCTATTAGGTACATTATTGTGTACATGATAAATATATCTAAAGACCATGGGAAGGCCCCAAAACTGCTGCCAAGGGTGCTGCAGATTTGTCATGTAGGAGCAGTTAATGTCATAGAAGCAAACCACTTGTTTGATCCCTTCCATATTGTATCCCAATGCATTTGCCAAAGAGTAGTCCATGTTCCACAGTCTGCAGCACCATCAGTGGGTGTCAAAATCGACAATTCAACCTCATACCTGTCTCCTTTTTGGAAGTCAACAACACAATGTGGATAAAAGTATCTGTGCTGTGTGCATGCAGTCACCCCAATTCCAGTTGCATGAAGCTTTCCCCAGGCTGCATTTGCCTGACTGATAGCTCTGTGGTTGTTTCAGGTGGATTTCTGTGCCTGAGCTCAGATCATGTTTTGCATGGGTTGAATGAATGCATACCTCCACAGTATGTGGAGTGGCCTTCAAATAGTCTGTGTAGTGTGGATTGGTCACCATATAACCTAGTTCATCCATCAACCACACCTGATCTTCAGATTTCTGCTCATGCATGTGTTCTGCTTTTAAAGTTTCCATCCATTACTACTGTGCAGGTGAACTGCCAGCTGAAGAAGGTCAGCATATGAGGATTGCATTATTGGAGCTGCTTACTGGTCCAAATCCTCATTAGTATCAACATTTCTTCCAGGCTGGGGGCGTGCTGCACAAAATAATGCCAGTCCACCTTTCTCTGCTGACCTGGTTGTCCTACAGAATCCATTCCATTTAAGTAGCTTGAGGTATTGCCATTTCCATGCAACCCATAGAAGCTCACAGTATCTATCCTGATTGACCCTTCAGACATTCCAACACTTGGAACCAAAATACCAAATCTTACTGGAACAAGGTGTGGAGACACACTGGATGTGATCCAATGCAACTTGCTTGCTGTAATAGTTCATGCCAGATGTTCCACATTCCAGGTTGTCCCTCAGGAAGTCATCCAGAACTGAAAATGTGAATGCAGTGCTTGGCTTCTCAAACATTGAGGGAAATAGTTTTGCTCTGAGCAACTGTATGTATCAGGTTTCTGCAGTCTCACATTCACACCAATTCACTACAATGAAATGAACACCTGTGACATCCACAACAGTGAGATATCTTGACCCCACTGGAGGATGGAGGTGCTTTGGGTTTTCTTTGATATCTTCCACATCTTCCCATTCTTGATCATTCATGGGCAGAGGTTTGCCTGCTGCTTGCTGGGCTTGTGTGATCACAGGGGGACAGGGTGCTTTGCCATGTCCTAGGTGCAACTGAACGCCAGTCTGTGGGTCTTGATGTGAATGTAATTCTGGGCAACCAACTGATCTCTCACCATGTGGAGGGTGGATTCCTTGTAGAAGTCCCCTGTCCACTGTTGGATCCTGTGGAAAGGAAGGCTCTCATGACTCTTCTGGCAACATTCTGTGCAGAATAGGGGCTGATGCAAGCAATCTGGACATCTGTATACCCCATCATTGCCACACCAGGTGCAGTTCCTTGGCTCTGGGGAGGCTTCCAGCTCCAGGAGTATCTTCAAGAACTCCCCCTTCTGTGGAACCCATTCACAGATGTAATCATTCTGCATCTGACACACCATGTGAAGTCCACTTTCAGGTTTGCAAACTGCTGCATACCTTTTTCCACAGTAACATCAGTTGCTGGACTGGTGGGCTCATGCTTTTATGTCCATCAAAGGCTGAATCCACCCATGCATCAAAGTACTTGTGGGAGTGAGACCTTGAATGCTTGGATGGTGAGGATCAGGGAGAATGGACAGGGGTTGTTGGATCTGGCTGTTTGATTGTGACTTCTACCAATCATGATCTATATCTACCTCCAGTTCTCTGAGTCTTGACTTCCAGCTGCTTCACCTGATGGCCCAGGGTAGGACCAATCATTCTCATACCCTTTTGAGTGCTTCCCTTGGCCATCTGGAGCTTGCTGATTTCACAGTATGAGGTCAGTTGTTAGAAATGCTACCACTAGTGCAAGTTACTTTATCATTTAGCTCTATTGATGTTGGTACCTTAACACATGTCAGGGCATAAATACAAATGCAACTACACTGGCCCTGCACAATGCATGGTGCTGCCTTCTTATTACTGCTCAATCCCTGCCTGCACATTCCCTTCCTGCTGCAACATTACCTGGGTGCTTTTCCTGGATTATGATGGTGAATTTGGATACTATATTAGCTGATGAAGGTGAAACAAGATGTTCAGTATCAATATAAGTATGGATATGATTGGGCAAGCCAACTGACAGCCCAGATGCAAACTGGGAGCTAATCTGCCTTTGGGTGGGATCCTGTCAAAGAGATCAGCCTGATTGGATATTTCAGTCACTTCATGGAGGTCTGAACAAATTCCTTGGCATGACCACACTAGTACTGAAATGTATTGTGACCAAACAAGGGTGCAAAAAAACTTAGTAGCCAACCATCTATTATACACCATTATACATCATACTACATCATTCTCCATGGAGTCCCAGTACAAATCAGACACCTGGGATCAGATGGAAAGAGATGATGGTGATGGTGAGCAAGACATAGAACCATCAGATGTGGGGGAAAGGGAGGAAGAAAGGTTTGAAGTGGAAGAGTTGGAGATCCTTGGGCACTGATGTCAGGAATGGAGGCAAGAAGGGAAGAAGAAGCCTGCATTTCTGCTATCCATATGGGAGGAGATGCAGCAATTGGACAGGAACAAGGAGTTGAGAGGGAGCAAAGTCCAGACCAAGTGCAAGGTATGCTCTAAAAGTTCTGATTTGGATGCTCACAATTCAAAGCACCCTTGTAGCTAATACAAGATTGGTTGAAAAAGCCCCTCTGTTCAAAGAAGCCCCACATTACCCTTAGATCCAGTTACAAATACTCTGTGTGGACAGTGGTCCATGAATTGTACCAAGAGCAAATACAGGAGAAGCTTGCAAAAATGAAAGTAGAAGAAGGCAATACCCATGGAAGCAAGCAGATCCAACAGTATCAGAATGCATTGATGGCTTTTATTCAGGACAACCTGATGGAGGAACAATTGGCTGCAGCTGAAGATATAGTGGCAAGGTGGAATGGGCAGGAAGGCCCTGTGCCAGAGACAAAAGCAAGGTGTGATTGTATGAGGTCAACTTCCCATTCTTCAATTTATCCTGGTTCCCAGGAATGCAGCCAAGTATGGGTACAAGTATGTCCAAAACTTTGCAATGGAGATGTGGAGGTATTGCAGAATGCACATAGTGTGTATGGCTGGGTGGAAAAATGAGGAGGGAACTATACAGGCATGCACATGAGTCCACCATATTCTCCTCTGGGCCTAGGTAAGAGCAATGACAGTATGGACTTCAATAATGAAATTGCAGATGGAATCCCCTTCAATGATGTCCACACACTGGAAGGAAGCTGGCAAGAGTACCTTGGGGAAACATTTGAGGAACCAGGAACACTGCCTGAGCATGATGGTGAGTCAAGTCCCAAATGTGCTCAGAAAAAGACAGCAGCCAAAGCAACAAGGACTGGCAAGGTTGACTCTGTGAAATTGGTGAAAAATGCTGATGGAGAGATTTGGATAGGAGAAATCACAGGCCTTAGCCAGGACCAACTACAAAAAATGGTTCACAGATTTGTGACTGCTCACTACCATGAGTGGCCAGAGTATTTAGTGTCCTCAATCTCTGATGAGTGCTATCAGGATTAGCATGCAGAAATCCCTCATCAGCAGTGCTGTTCAAGAATTTTGGTCATCATCAAGTGGAAATGAGAGCAGCCTGCCATCTTCCTGAAGGATTTACCTTTGACTGTGACATGTCTGAGGGAATTATGAGCACTACAAGAACATGCACTGAAGTGAATATGTACCTGAGGCTTAGAGCATGTCACTTGTCTCATTGTAATCTTGTCCCATAGTCACCTTGACTGCAGCTGCAGTTTGTCTGAGACTAGGACCACAACATAAATGAAAATCAGACTCACCAGGTTCATTGACAAAAAAATATCCTGTATGCATACAGTGAGCTTTGGGCACTTGAGGCTGCAATTTGAGTACCGATGCTCTCGCAGCTTGATGGTGGGCAGCTGAGTTAATAATTGAAGCCAGAAACCATTACATTGGGTCTGCCTGCACTACACACCAATTCACATACCTCATTGTTTCTCTTCATACTGATGTTTGAAAGCTACACACTCCCTCTCATCTTCTTTGTGCTTCCTGCAACTCACCTCATGCTGCTTGAAACCAGTTTTCTGAAATTTCCTGTTACAGTGAGGGCATTGATGGAGA